GCCAATAAACTAAATTAAGTATACTTTACAGCAAATATTTTAATAGATAACGTGATTAAAATTAATTATTCTTAAAGTTTCGGAGGCCCCTCGCCTTCCGATAAGAAAACATAGGAGTAAGAGAGAGAGAGAGGAGAGAGGAGAGAGCAGTATCAGACGGCTTTTAATTGAAACTCGGGAGTTAAAAGCGACTAAAAGTATGCCGAAAATAAGTAAAATTCGGTATAAGATGGGTTAATTAAAGTACATAGAGCTTAGATTTAATTAAATTTAAACCTTAGCATGGGTTAATCCCATTAGTAATATAGGTTCATTAAAGATATGCTCGAATATTGTTGATGTAGGTCTATGGCGAACGTTTCTGCGAAAGGAGAATGATTGGTTGAAGACGTTGATGTTTTTCCACTTAAACGATCGACCCGGAGAAAGAAGAGTTATTATTTGCCTCTCTAATTAGGGTCCAAGTGTGAATAATGGTTTTATTGTAACCTTACTCTGCTCCCTCCCATTAGCGTGCGCTTTCCATTGCGGAATGTGTCTCTGTTAATAATGCGCACAATATTTTCAGCGGTAAATCTCAAAACTACTGCTAGAAAACTGACTATACTCTTTTTCTGATTCTTGTTTCTCCCGTCGCACCTTTCTAACAATCTTTCTGTAGGTAAGTGATTATGTAAATTTTACTAAACGATTTCCCTTTTCTTCTTATTAAAATGGTATATATCTATTGTTTTTGTATTTCGCCATTGTTCGCTTCGAAATATTATTATTTTTTCTTAAACTTTTTACGGCCTATCGAGTTTGTTATTAACCAATAATTTAGATCCAAAATTAGTGTCTGTAGAGTTTTTCAATGGTAATGATCCCGAGGGTTAACATTCTTAACGGGCTTTGAATGCAATATACATTGTAAACTGAGCTAATTACTATTCTTTCTTTTGTACTTTGTTACACGAATTTAAGTATTTCCAACGTATACAATGCGTAATTTAATAATTGAAAGATATCCTAATTGTAATTTGATTTATTATATTTTAAAAATGCCATTAAAAAGTCGTTGTAAACATGCGACGTTACAACCTACACACGACCGATTTACAGATATATTTTCTATATTTTAGTTATTAATATTAAAAATTCAATAAAATTTTAAATTAATATAAAAATCTGTAAAATATGAAATATATATATATATATTTTATATTTATAAATTATAAAATAATAAAAGAGAAAAAACCACGCTATATCCTAATTTAACATTTGGTCGAAAAAAAGAAAAAAAATGATTCATGAAATTTTAAGCAATTTCTGATATTTTTTTTATATATAAATTTTGAATGGTCTAAATTCAATGTTGAAAGTAAATTAAGAATTAATGTTCGATCTCCATGAGTGAAAGCAGCTTGTTTACGCAGGGTTAGGATCAGCTTTGTATCGGAGAACAAAAGTTGGGGATAGCTCCCACAGGATGCTATAAATATTATAACAAAGGCACGGGGGAAGAACAGGTCACGTGGCAGTCCCCTTCTTTTTTGCACCCTTTGTGACATTTCAAAGCTTCTCCCAATTCTATCTAGCGCCGTTTCAAATAATCGACCCTGTCAAATAAGGGCGCTTCCTAATATGAGCCTATTGCACTTGGATGGATGCATTTGCCTTATTTTTAATCTGTTTAAAGCGTTCTTCTAAAACAAAAATTTGCTAAGAGGGGGAAAAAATCAAAATTTAAATAATTTACATTTGTATCAAACAAAAAAATTTTAATTTAAATAATTTATTTAATTCGCCATCAAAATTCAAATTACGACGATCAAAGAAGCTTATATTTTTAAAAAAATAGGCCTATAAGAGTTAAAATACAAATAAATTCTCAAGTTAAAAATCACTATATTTATATCTAGGCCTATAACTTTTTTTGGATTTATTTGAATGTTAATAGAAGAACATTTTTAAAACTATTTTTATATAATTTGCGTGTTTAAAAAATAAAAAAAATCGAATTTTTATGGCGTTAAAAATGACAATAATACCTAATAGAAATGTAACACGTTTGCGGAATTTTAACTGACCGAGAAATTGGATAATGTTTTCATTAATTACAATACTCATTCTGAAGTGATACATATTCAATTAACCATTTCATCTTCCATTAAACTAAGTTTTAAATCCTCAAAACTCAGTAAGAGTAAAACTGTTTTAGCAAAAATTTAATAGAGAACGATTCGGAAACTAATCCGAAGTTATCGATCGAATCTGCTACAAATAAATGAAAATCGAATAAGAAAAAAAAATTTAATAAATACGAGAAATTCGAGTTTATAAAGCGAACCTTGCGACTTTCGACCCGAAATATCTTATTATTAAGTCTAATTATTTACCTAGCAGGATAGCTTCGGTTAACAGAACCTCGCCTAAAGCCCCATGAAATATTTATTCTCTGATGAACGACTACACTCAAGTCTCCATTCTAATTAAATCCCTGTTTTTTTCCCTCTAACTCTCCTATTCTACTTATTTTCTCTCCGGTATTATGCGTTTTAAATTCCTTTTCGCACATTTTCCATGCGAATAATTGAGAACCGAGTGATAAATGCCATCTTCGGGCCTTCATCTTCATCTCCTAACAACCTCGTCAGTGTATCAGATTTATGTAATTCTTTAAATAAAAAAAAAAACATTAACAAGAATGTCTCGACTCTATTTTATAATTCAACAAGCAGAATAAACTTTCTCTTATTTTATTAGTTAATGATAGAATAACACGATAATCATCTCTCAACTTGGCGCATTCTAACCTATATAACAAAACACTGATAGTTTCAACGAGGTCAGTATTGATTACTTTTCATATTATAGATAAATCAAAATTGATTTTCGATAATAGAGTAACATAATATGCTAGGCAAAAAATGCTATTTCAACAAAATATTTACAGTTCATTATACATCATCTCTACGGTTAAAGAAGGGAGAATTGCAATGAAGAAAATAATGTTGACAAATATCTAATGGGCATTAATATTTACGATATATTGTCCAAAGTAATAAAGATAGTAAACAGTAAAATAGCAGGTTCTATATAGAAAATTATTCACTTCGGTTCCTCTCCTGAGAGCTGTATAATACCTAAGTTTTGGAAACTAAACTATCATGTCGAACTTTCCCTCTTCTGTTGTGAATGTGTGTGTGTGTGTGTGTGTGTGTGTGTGTGTGGTATATCTCTAAAATCTTCATTGCCTTTTGTAGATTAAAGCTAACGTCATTGTAAACTGTTCTTTCTGCTGATCGTAAAATGCCCCTTTAATTAAATAAGATAACTAGGCTATTTTCCAAATTAATCTATAGAAGAATGAATCTGTTCGAAACTTATTAAACTTTTTTAGCTGNTTCTAACATAACTGATATTCAACAGAATGTGACAGGTACTCGATAGTATTCCGAAAAATGAATTCTAGGCCTGAGTACTTTGATGGCGATGGTAGCAGCTAGTGTACAGTTTTTAAACGTGCCACACCTTATATTTCTATTTCCAACTCATCTTTGTTTTCACCCTTACGTCGGGAACCTCAAGTCTCGACGTATTGTAGAAGAGAGAAAGTCTATATTGATTAGTAAAATATTGTAGCGGCCGTTTACAAATACGAGGTACAGTACAACTGTATAAATTAGTTGTTTTATCATATTTATTTTATTATCATCATTCCCCCAAAAATTTAAGGGACCCAAAAATACAATTTTACATACCGTATATTAGAGAATTGTCTGTCGTTGTAGTATTCCTCGTCTTTTCTAATTTTATTTCTAGTATATCTGGATAGTCCTCTCACTTCCGTTAGTATTCTTGTACGTTGATCTCCCGAAATAAAATTCTTGTTTAATTGTTTAAGTAGATCTACAGTATATCAAAATCGCCGATAATAAATAATTTGAGGTTCCTTAGTTTGGTAATATTGAAATGAATTATAAAATTTAATAGATAAATATATAATGAAAAAAACAAAACTTAGTCTAAGCCAAGCTCAGACATCAGCAAATGAAAAGTTCAGCAGTAGATTTTGCATTTGACACCATGCATTATTAACAGCTGTATATTAGGCGCAATGCATTAACATAATAACGATTATGGACGGATCTATTTTCTAAATTTAGTTTACACTCTGAAAATTTAAAGAATAGAGTTTTTTAATTTTCCAAAAAATAATTATCCAAGAGTTTCTCTACCAATTAATGTAATAAATTTTACTTAGTTTTAGCAAAGTTATATCCCAGGTTTCTAGCCTTTCACAGTTTATAGAACGCATGCAGAAGCCAGGATTAAAGCTGTAAGTGGAAGACACGCAGTTTTAAGTCGATATGTAATATGCTAACTATTGTTGTTTAGTTTGATTAGATTGTGGCACGTGACTGCTAGTAGATGGTCAATAAAAGAGTAATTAAAAGTGAAGGCGATACAGGTTACGAAGAATATAAGCTGTGACGGTTAGCGAGTATAGAAAGTGAACGTGTTCAACGAAAAATATATAAGGTATTGTTTACGAAAAGGAGCAATTTTGGTGACAGAGCACCACAGTCCATCAAATAACCAAAAAGTAGCTGGATTTTTTGACGCAGATGACTCTATCATGCTCGACAAGCAACTGTGTTGTTGCAGCCAGTCTGGTATATGTGCCAGTTGAAAGGCAGACCAGACTCTGTAACCCAACGCCGGCAAAGCAACAATAGATCGGACGACTCCTGCTTGTTACCTGTCCAAGCAGGAGGCACGCGGTAGGGGGTCGAGGAATGCTGCCCGAGGAACAGTGAGGCAAGTCGAGGGCAGAAGTTGGTGTTTCGGGCCAGAACGTTCCCACCGTCTCCCTCACTACCTACATATCGGCGAGTACGAGTTAAGGGTAAGCAGTTTCAAACAAGGTATGACTGCTAAGGTCATGGAAAACAAGATGGCGTATGGACACCGAGTTCTGTTTGTGTAGCGGATGAAAACAAAGACAGACACTTTCGTAATAGTCGCAAAGAATTTGCTGTTTATTTTCGTGTTAATGTCACTATAGCAATATGATACAACGTTAGCACAGAACTACAGTCATTAGAATATCATTTTTTTTTAAATTTTTTTACAGAGTTTTGGTTGCTGTCTTCACCTTGTTCTCGAGATACCTGTACAATACGTAAATCTTTGATGTTTACTTAACTGGCTTGAACTTTTTAGTTTGATAGTTCAACCACTGATTGGCTATTTGATTCATATTTACGTTAACGACGTTTCTTTTCTGCGTGTGTGAATTTTCTGTTTACTCTAAGCACACAAAGGTACCAGATCTAAACCTGTCGGTCAGTCTGACAGTAGTGATAGTTAAGCCTAACTGTGTAGTTTCTACGAATTTTTTTTTTTGTGGTTGGTTCTTAAATGACGTAGACGTGGTACAAATGACGCAACGACACAACTACTGCAAGATGGGCAATGGAGGGGAAATTAAACTGATGGGCTACTGACGGGGGAAGAAGAAATCACACCCCCTCTAAGGAGAGTCCTAAAGTACGTTATACACAGTGCCGACAAGAACAAGAGAGATCTATATACAAAGTGAAATTGGGGTGTTCCTTAGAGGGGGTCGGGATTGGGACTACAGCGAGGGATTGCTTGGCACCCCGGAGACTGGCTCCGCCGGTATTTTATCGGTATGTGTGACATTAATAAAAAATACCGTATTATCGTCGTTAGGCCTAACCGCTCGTACATGAGGCCTAACCGTCCCTCGTAACCCACACACGCTGCTTACATCTCTACAACTATTCCAGCTACATTATCCCGGCCCTCAAAGTGATAGTTAACACTAGTTTGTGGCATGTCTAACATTGAACCCTGATAGTTGAACTGTGACCGTAGCTCCAGCTTAGACCAAACTAAGCCTAATTGTTTACCTCCCGATTATTTGAACGCCCCATGCCGACGTCTAAGCGGTAGAAATAAGCCTACCTTCCTCCCGGCCTGAGACTAGCTACCTCGGCCGCATGTTTACTTGCTTCTTGGTGCTAGGCCTAAAGCCTGGGGCGAAAAAACTGTCCGCAGTCTGAATGCTCTCCAACTAGCGACACGATAGAAGTAGGTGAAATAATAATTGGCACAAATAAACATCTCACCTGTATCAATTGGAAACTATGTACAACGTACACCTTGTGGCTTGAGGTGGGGATTGTGCACACACAAAACACTTCGTCCCAGCACGGGGCAGTTCCTGGGAGGGCAGTCTGTGAGCGTCCGAAAGTCACACACTCACATTCACGCATTCAATCACAAAGTCCAAGTGTCCAGTGATGGTCAGTGAGCTGTAAGTGACTGGCCGACACTGTGGATGGGCAGGCTAGAGGTATGAGGCGGCGGAGACTGCAACATTGGAGGACTGTGCGAATGAGCATGCAGGTGACCAGGACTGCCGCCATGACCCAACATCATCTCCCCGCCGTTTCCCGGAGTCGGTCCGTTTCCTTGTAGCTGGCTGGCCGGTGGGGTCATGCGTTTTTCCTTTTGTCGTCGGTTGCAAAACCAAACCCGCACAACTTCCTTTTCAAGTTGGAGACTGTCCGCTAGATTTGCGATCTCCTGAGCTGATGGCTTCGGCTGTTTGTGAAAGTGACTTTCTAGGGCCCCTTTCACAGACACCTCGATGCTTGTCCTTTTCTTCCTCTTCCTGCCCTGGGCTGCGATCTTGTCAATGCTTGTTGGCGATCCTGTTGTGCTATCTGCTTCTTCTAACCACTTTGCTAGTAACGGTTTCAATTTGCACATATTTTTGAAGCTGAGTTGAAGCGCTTCGAACCTGCAGATTGTAGTTTGGCTAAACACATTACCATATAGGGTTCCGAGAGCCAGTCCTACATCGGCTTGAGTGAACCCAAGCTTTATCCGTCTCTGTTTGAATTGTTTGGCAAATTGTTCCAAATCGTCAGAACTGGGTGCTTCTTCTTCACCACTTTCGGGGTGCCTTGGGTCCAGACCTCTCGGATGCACTGAATCGTGCTGATGATGATGGGGGTGGTGCTGATGGTGATGATGGTGATGTTGCTGCTGGGCCTGCTCGTGTGGTGGAACTTCTCTCATGGCAGGATGGATTTGAGGTCCCCCTCCATGGGCTAACATCCCATTCATGCCATAGGCAGGGTGCTGTAGAGGCGACGACCCGTTGGCTGGGGGTGGCATACCACCCATATGTGAAGAGGCTAGAGAGGAGTGGTGCCAGGGGTGGGAGGCCGCCATGTGTTGAGGCGGACGGTGATGAAGGGCACCGGGATGGAGTTCGGCACCCGTATGAGGCGGTGGTTTGATATCTTGCGAATGGAGACTTGGCGGTGGCATTCCAGATGACCAGGACCCGGGATCTGTGTGCGAAGGTATGCTCACCCATTGCGGATGAGGACCGAGTGCATGGCCGTTCGGTCCCTGGTGTTGCGGCGGTACATACTTCATCTCTAGTGGCTCGCGACCGTAGCCGGCCTGCGAGGTGGCGACCTGCATGTCTGCAGCGTGTGCGCTCGTCAGTGAGGACACGCTAGTTGTGGCGATATACGGATTGGACGTGCTGGTAGCCATGCTGCGGCAGACATGGGCGCCGCTTCGATCTGACTTGCAAAACGACTGGCGCTCCTATGCGCTCTGCATTGCTGCCGATCCAGCCTCGCTTTAGACCACGGCCATCGCTGCTATGATGGATCGGGCTGTGTCTAAGTTTCCTATTGGTTGATCGCACGATAACAGACAGTAGACTCCAACCTATCAGAAGGAAAGTGGTTCCATGCGACTTCTCCATTGGCAGAGAGTAATGTGGGAATGGAATCAGAGAACGCGTGGTGAGGCTGACCCGCTGCGGTACACTAGCGCCGCCGCCACACGTGCAGGCGGAGTTGGAGAAGGGAGGCGGGAGACAAGACTGCAGAGATTGATGTAGACAACGTGCTTGGGGTCTAGCCCAGCACTACATTCACTCCAGCTCTTAAAGTTTTGGCTGTCTCGACATGGCGGATGTGTTTACAAATATCAGCTGACGGTTTCTGCTAACTGAATTAAAATATCTAGAGATTTAGTCACGTTTTCGAAATTTTTAGTTTTTTCGAACTGTGAAAATAAATTTTGCCATTTTGATGACTTGGATAAGAACGAACCTTAGATGCCAATTCAGAGGGTAAGGCACAGTTTTGTAACTATAAATGTACTTATTATTGAAAAGGTTAATAAAATGCAGAAAGAAGAAATTAATATTCAATAATTAGTTGTGGTAAACGGATGTTAGGAGGGTGGTAGAGGGACCGAACTAGAAAAAGCTTTGTCGTTTTTTAACAGCGAGTCGGACCAGGGAGCCCCGCTGCTAGATGACCCAAGCTCCCTGCAGCTGTCCGGCAGTTTGTAAAACCGCTTACCGATAAATCTGGGCCAACATCGAAGCTGCAATACACAAAAACACAATGAAACGTACTAAAACAAAAAAATAATAAATAAATAAAAAATATGAATCGGTTAGTGACACCTGTCAACTGCCTTCTCGATATTTATTTTCTAATTTAGAAAAAAAAAAACTACATATTGCGTGAAAGACAAATATTGTATTATCAATCAATACTACTACAAATTTTTATCACGAAACTTAATCCGTATTATAAAAAATAGAGAAAATTCTATTAAATTTAACTAAAAATTAAACATAGACTAATTTATGAAAACACTTCCTATGTTTTACCTTATAGACTAACTCCCCGTACATGACGTAACACACTTTGCTTCTCGTGTGATAATTGTCAGGACCTTGATAATTAACAAAAATTGTTAATAATTGTCTAAATCATAGCCTATTAAGACAATGATCGGTTTATAACTTTTTTTTTATATTTTAACAATGTCCGTTGCAATAGCCTTATCACACGAAGCCTGAAGGCATAATAGTAACTCGATAGCTGGTCTAACCACGTATAGACTATATAATTTTTTTTATTTTATTATTTTTTGCAGTTCCGATTGTTCATTCTGCCTAAGCTTGTTTTCTATTTAGAAAGAGATTGTTTCAATTGGAAAATTTTGTAAGTCGCCTAAAGCAAAAGAAAATGTAGAATCCAATGTCGGAATTAATTTTAATTAAAAACACGCTACAGATAATTCCCTCTACGCCGGAATTATCCCGATTATACTATTTAAAAAATCGATATGACGTAGGAGATTAAGTTAGCCTGTAGGCCCGTACCAATCTGTTAAGTTGGCTAGGCGCCCTAATCCACGGATTACAGCCACCGGTATCCATCTAATAAACATTAATGAGACTACCAATTTCATCTTCACCAAAAGTAACAGACGTTTAATAGGAGCCTTATATATAGAAGCGGCCTAGATATCGGAGAGGATAGCTCCCCAGTGTCTTTCCGAGCGCCCAAAGAAAGATTTATGAGGCAAAACGCTGACAGCCCTTCGATGATCACGTGATGTACTGCACGTGCTCGTCACGTGTCCCTCTACATTTTCACTTTTCGTTTTATCTTCTCACTTTCGAAATCCTCCTCCTGGTACCTTTGGGAAAGTCTCTTCGGTATCACTTGCTTTCACATATATATATATTTATATATACTTTATCTTTATATATATATATAATGTATATATGTATTTAAGAAGAGTAACAAGTAGACGTTTACCACCTTTCCAATTATCGTTTACAGTTTGTCATCGTGAAACACCTGAGACAGGTGTACTAAAATTTTTGCAAACTTTTAAGTCCACAGGTGTTTGGCAAAGTTGCTATAACGTTGAGCTTTTACTGCTGATCAACAACGTCTATTCCGCCACCTAGTGTATGATTGTGGAACTATAGCAACTTCCAACAGCAAATTTCGATTAAAAAATAAAAGAAGAAAAAAGTGACTATTTTATTACAATTATTATATTAAAATATAAACCTACTGGAACGAATGTCCGGCGACGAGTTTCTCGTTCGATGACGCAACGCGTGGACACGAAAGTTTATTATTAGAAAATATTGAATTTCCAATTCCATTAATTCCCAGTAAACACATTTTATGCTAAATGTTAAGTGTCTAAAATATTTAAATGTTCAGTACAGTATAAAAAAAAGAGAAAAATTTTGACATAATTCTCTTTTGTGGAAACAGTGTACAATTTAATTACAAGAGTTTAATAATTCAATCTTTCAATGCAAACAATTATATTACAACATAAAAAATTTATAATCATTTTTTCATTCTATGCAATTTGTGACCAAACATGCTTTATGAATAGATTTAAATAATAAATTTGTTGTTGTTATGACTCCTTTTAATCATGTCATTTAAAATATGACTCACTGTATGCATAATTTCTTGATTACAGATTTCAGTCTAATACATAATAAAACAGAAATCTTTTATTACACATTAGACTGGAAAACTTTTGAAATAACAACACTTTAAAATATTTAGTATGTCACCAAGTTAATTACCGTTAACTGAAATTATCTGTTTACTCANATTTCGATTAAAAAATAAAAGAAGAAAAAAGTGACTATTTTATTACAATTATTATATTAAAATATAAACCATAATACGTTTTTTTTTATTTTCTTCAACTAAAAAAAATTCTGCTAATTTTTTCGTTATTATTTTATTAAATTGACCATCCAGGGTGATGTTCTCTAGCGATTTACAGTGAGCTTTTTTTTACATTTTTTTTAAAATACAAATTATGGATAGGAATTCTGTAAGGGATTTACTTTTAAAATTGTAAACAAATATTCACAGTAGTGGGAATTTTTTTTTTGCAAGGAAACGTGGCAAAAAAAGGCAATTTGATGAATAACAGAGATGTTAGTGTTTGTAAGAAATTAATGACGCCTAGAATAAAACACTCCATCGTTGTGGAGTGCCAAGCTACAGGAAATTACATTACACACTCGAGAATGGTACTAACTAGAGTGGAAGGAGAAGCACCGAGGAAAAAAAAAGGAGAATGATTCTATTTCTCACCCAGTGACGTCATAAACAGACAATTGAACTGATTGGAGGAGATTTTCATGGCAGAACTTGCTATTCTTCAATATCCCCCTTTCTAATGTCCTATATAATAAGCGAAAAATTATCTTTGTCTCAAAAATAATTTTTACAACCTTTCGACTCTATTACAGATCACTTATAATAAAACATTTTCCACAGAGTAACTTATAGAAATAGTATATTTACAGTATATCTGTCTTAAATTATAATAGTTAGAATCATTTAGATTAGTTTACAGAGAAATGTCTTTTGGTATAGTAAAGGCTAAGTCAAAGAAGTGGTAATTATTTAAAAGGAAGTAAAATAAATCATAACAGCAGCAAAATTAAACGTTTTGTTTGCATAAGTAAGCAATAAAATACAGGAAAAAAGCGTTTCAATTAAATTTACTGGAATAATAATAAATATGGTGTAGCTTTGAATATTGGAAATATATGCATGTTTATATAGAAAAAAAGAATATAGGTGTATGTGATAGTTGTATGTAAAATAGTTCTCCTTTTTGTGTACGACGATGTGTAGAACGCATATGGGAGTTACGTTTATTTCTATTGAGAGGCCATTTAAAATTTAAATCGAAAAGAATTCCCTTGCTGTTTAGAATTTAAAATGGTTTCCAAGTTGTGAAGTTGATCTTTCATTCGTTGTATTGGGTGCTCAATATATTGCCGATAGGAGCAAGATGCATGGAAGAAGAGAATTTTCACTTTCATACAAATAAAAAATTTACTTCTCTTTATATTGTGATTTTTTCGACTTTCTCTCCACCAAATTTTTGATGGGTCTAGCCGAATATACGTAAAATTACTTTTTAACGTCTGTGTATAGGTTCTTTATATAACTTTAATTTTATAATTTACTAAATAGCGTTAATAAGCTTATTATAAACTTATATTTCTACCTATTTTTATAGTCTCGATGGAGAATTTTGAACGGGGGAAACGAAGCGTCTCCGATTTGTGCAAAATTTCAAGATTACATGGTAAGAAATTTATTTAATTTTCGTCTTTCGTTCAATAAAACCCTTCTAATTTAAATTCTACGAATGTCTTAATGATTTGTAATGTTTGAAATCGACTTTTTAAAATTAATAATCGAATATAATTTATGATAAACTATAATTAAGCTGATTTTTCTTATTTTTAAAGAGAATTTAATCAATATTATACTGTAGGAAAGGTTAAAGATAAATTGTTATCTATGTTAAACTTTCTTGGAATAAGAAGCAAAAATAATCAATTTTAACTAAAAATTGCCCAACAGTTTATTAAACCTTGATCGTAACAGACGTTACGTTAAATAATAATATGAGAAATCCTGTTTTATAGCCTAAATTCAAGTTTTAATAGTTTTATGATAATTTTCTGCGTAGAATTGTATTCATACGTTATTGACCCGTAGATCCCATTTTAAATGTATTTATTACAAATTTCGAAGCAAATCCGTTAAGGTGTAATACAAAACATTATAGGAATATTTGCTTGTTTTTTTCGTAACGAGGATAATGTCCCTATTCAAACTCGTGACGAAAACAATTAAAACGAAAATATGAGGAAAATTTTTCTGAGGGGAGTCAATTAAATTAAATGCCCCCTAGTGTCAGGATACAGAACTACGAGGAACAGGATGTTTTAGTACAAAACGAGTTTTACGGACGTCGTGTGTTTTGTAAAGGGAAATGCAGAAATAGGGGTCAGTGCTGTAATTTTAGGGTCACGGCCTGGCAGGGGTCCGATCCCAGCGACCTCTCACATGGCCGACAGGTGGTCCATGTGTAGCAGGTGCAAAAACGAGTGATAAGCGGCCTCTTCCTTTCTTCCTCATGTAGCCTACTTGTAATTTTCAAACCATATTATTTAATGTTTGATGTCTTCTTTATGACCGTAACCTCTTCTAAGAACTAATTTATAATAATGTACACTATGGTTTACACATGTAAACTTATTATAATACAAAATGCCATGGCACACACTCCCGTTTGGGCCCTAACCATAGCTGGATCAGCCTAGTAGTTAATAAAATATATTACTCCACTGTTGGCTTAAGGACCCTCATCACATGTCTTCCCTATGAAGCTTATATTTCTTATTAATCCCCCTAAATTTATATCTAGAAAGTTCGTTTTTGAGCATCTAGAAATTCCAAAAACAGT